CGGACTTATTGCTCATTGTGCTGATATCAATTAAAATCAGGTGCTGCGGAAAGAATAAAAAAACCAATGCGTTCAGTAAAAAATATGAGCTGCCAAATGCGGCAGCAGCAACACGAAGCCATAAAAACTGAAAATCAAATGATGAACATGGCGACGAACATTTTAATCAATCAGCGTGAAAATCATACGCTCCTGCTAACGATCCGGCGCGTGGAGGAAGCGGAAATTGTAGCGCATTGTATAGTATGTGCAGCATCTACGTAGGCGAGGGCTGCTTGAAAATCACACGAAACTAAAAAGCTAATGGTGAGAAGGACCAGATATTATTCTATTAGATTATACGATTCAGTGTGGATGTGGAGGTCTTTGTCATTTGTAAAACGACAAACAATATCATAAATATCTTAAAAATTAATGAGATTTACCTTTCTTTGCTGATCTATGTAATATCTTGGTGTGCAGTAAGAAAATGTTGGAGCTCTTTGCTGTTTTAATCACTATACATAGATTGTTTTTAAACAAAACGGTTGAATATAAATGCTGCTTAAAGAAGCAGAAAACCTTACATTTAATTCATATTACCAATCAATAGAGTCACGTGAATATTTTGTTAGTCTTCATGGTTTCATGTAAACAAAAACTTCTACTATGTTAAAAAAAAATACGAATTTAAATAATGGAAACGCAAAGAAATGTGTTAAGCCAAGTTCAACAAACAATAACAAATTGAAAGTGAGAAGCAGTCTGAAATTAGTTTAACGAGCTCCTGCCTCTAGGTATACATGGAGTTCGCCTTTCCCTAAATTAATCAGCACTGTCATAGAACTGCAGATAAGGCAAACATTTTCTACAATTAATCAAAGATGAAGATGGTTTGTGAAGGCAAGTTTCACAGCTATAGCCTGCTGCTTCGGCAACATCTGGAGTAGCCCTCGTGTGTTCCCGATTCTATGTTAATATGTATGTGGACGAGCTGGTGTGCATTGCACAGGTGCTCGACTGTATGGTGATGATGGGCGCTGTAAATGGCACTTGATTTCGATATTTCAATCAACGCGGCAGGGCGCGAGCTCTGTCTGCATCTGCTGGTTTATGGATTCCATGGATTCCATGGTGTGGGGCGTGCAGCTTTTTGCATATTTCATGCAATTTGAGTGGCAATGGCGATGAAGCAACAAATTGTGGCCACAAATGTCTGCAACAATAAAAACAGCAATAACAACAACATCATTAGATATGCACGCCACTCAGACTCCGTGCAACGCTGCTTACTTATTTTTCAGCTCATTTTTCTTATTTTTTTGGCAGACCATATTAAATCATCGAGCTACCAAGTACCTGTTAAGAGCTTTTGCCGCATTTTATTTTCTGTTTCATTTCGGGCAAGCGAACAGTGGACTGTTGGCCATGTGCCCGCTACCTTTTCCTGCTCATCTGCCTCTCTGTATCTGTATCTGTGTCTGTGTCTGCGTATGAGCCTTCTGCTCTCCGATCCCTCCTTGGCCATCGTCCAACTGATTCTGCTGCGGTCTGAATAAGTGTATAGGCGTGTGAGGGTGTGCGAGGATGTGCATATTTTGAATGCGCGCATTTCGATCACGTGATTGAGATTTTTACATTTAAAACGTGACTGAAATATTTCCAGTTTCGTCACTTGAATGCCTATCTGGGGTCAGTCTCCCACACCCCTTGAGCAGGAAGTGTACGAACGCAATAAAATTTATTCAATACTCCTTCAATGATGTGCTCCGACTGAACTTTGGCTGTGTCTGCCTTTTATTATTATTATTTTTGTATCCTCCAGCCGGCCTGCTTGCTTATCCGTGTTCGTACATACTTACTTGTATAGTATGTGGATAGACTTGTGTTTTTCCATTTCGCATTTCGGCCTTTTTCAATCAGAAACAACCGGACAAGTGTTAACTAGATTTAAATAATGCATTAGTGGGCGCACCCCCACATATTTATACTTGTCCCATTTAAAACGCACATAGAACAGTTTCCTATAAAAAAAGTACATGATAATTCAAAAGAGTAGGTTTTTATTTTGCTTATGCAAAACTACACTCAGCCCTTATTATAATATTAGATGATTTTGGGCCCAAATGAGGAAGCTTTTTAAATAAGACTTCTTTTCTTACAGCGGTCGTTGCCTGTTTTGTACACTCGCTGAGCTAGAAGTGAATTGAAGAAGTAAGAAATGCCACACAAATATACTTAAAATTAAAGTGTCTTGGCACAGGAATAATATTCCTTATCATTATAGTGTAATTCTATGAAATATTGGAGACTATTATTCATTCAAAATAAACAGAGATATTTTGCGGTGGAATTTTAATATTAAAAGAGCCAAACAGTTAAATTACCTTGCACTTAACAGCACTACGAATTGGCAGCAAATACATGTGTTAATATCGACTGACAACAAACCGACAAATTATGAAATGGCTGCTGCTTAATTGTTGGCACTTCAATTGCAGGCATGCGTATATTTATTGTTGCAGTTTGTTTTTCTACTGCTCTACAGTGAGGCCTCAATAGTATTTCCTCTTAAAAGGTAATCATTCGAAAAAGCTCGTGCGAATAATTTATCACAAATATAATCCATTCCTGAACAGTTACTTGGCAAAGCAAATAATTTGTTAAGCTTCTCTAAATTAAGAATGATGATTATTTAACGACTGCTACCTTTTACTATTATATAGAAATCATTTTTGTTTAAAAGGCACACTCCATTGAATAAATTAACTGATGTGTAACTTTTATTTTCATTATTCTCTGCTCTTAGCGGTTGACTACTGTATTATATTGTTCTTATTACACTTGGCATGCCATTGAACAGCTGCATCTGATATGCATATGCAGTGCACTCAGTTTGGAAAACCATTTTTATTGATTCAGGCCTCATACACACGAGTACATACCCAAACAATTGTGCGATATGTATGTATGTAAAGGCACAATGGAGCACCATTGCTGGCCGAAACGAGCGAGACATTTCATATTGCCAGTGGAGTAGTAGAGTGTGAAAACTGCAAGCCAATAAAAGGCATTTGGAGCACATAAAACAAATCAACGCAATCACGCACACATACCATACGCCAATTAATTACAATTTTACAATTTTCATTTGCATGTAAGTTTAAGAAAACAATGCACACACACACACACACACAGAGAGAGATGCCCGCCATTGGCAAATTTTTGATTAGCAGAGCATTTGTGGCCCGAAGTTTCTGCCTCAGGCCAATTTACAATTGCAATAAAAGTTACAAACAAAAAACAGTAGACAAAACTAACAAAAGACGATTGCCAAGTGGATGCCACATGCCGAGGCTGTAAATAAAATTTAATGAAATGATATAAAGTTTGAAAGAAAACACACAGACATACTAACATATGTGAGTTAGTGGAGGAGATGTTGGAAGGCAAGCAGACGATGGCTAGAAGCGATTGGAACGCATTCAGTCTGTTAGCGACAGACAATGGAAGATTTCGCACATCTAGGTGGAATAAGTAAATCACTTTAGCATTAATAGTAGTGTTTTATTCGTTAGCTGAGAGCTAACATTCCCATGCTAGTGAGGGAACTGAATACCGCTCTGTGGGAAGTCATTTAGCGAAGAGCCCTCTCCAGAGATAGCCCTGAGAATACAGCAAAATCACGTTTAAATAGAAATCTTCTAAAAATTTTATAATTCCATTACATCACCTTTTCTTGATTAGTAAGCCAGATTTTTGTTTGACAGAGAATCCTTTGCTTTTATTTTCCAATGGCAAATTAAAATAACAACTAATTTTAATTACAAGATATTAATATAAGCAGCAAGCAATGCAATGGCTAAAGCAGCTTCGAAAAAAGCAATTAATTGTTTTTGTAATTTAAAAAACACAATCAGTTTCATAAAACCATTGGGATCGTGCATACATGGACATTTTGTTTCCTGAAGTCCATTTATTTGCTTAAAACCTGCCACTGTGCCACCCTTTTTTGTGTGTGTGCGTAATTCCTACATCGGTAATTAAGATTTCGTATGAGTTGCTCGCAATCAGTGCAGAAGCTGCCGAGCACAAACAAATGCACAGGCAACTAGACACACACACTCACGCACACGCATACCCACACACACACACACACACGCAGGCGACGACAATCTCAGCTGGTGCCTGCATAATTTAAAGCATACATTTAGGCTGTTGCTGCTAACTCACAAGCCAATGCAGTCACATCTCCGACAGTGTGATAAATGCCAAGACACAGACAAGCACACAAACCGAAGCACTTGGAGAAAATGTAGATACTTACCACATTGAAAGCCGTAGCTTTTTCTCAGGACTCTTGACAAGAGCAAGCGAAGATCATAGCCATAAAAGGGCTACATTAAGAAGCAAATATAGAAACGTGTTTCCCATATCGTGCAGATGGGAAAGCGTTTGTTTTTTTTTCAAAGATACTTTTTTTAAGCCATATTGGTAGCAGAATACTAACTTAATAAATTTTAATTAATTAAACTAATATAATTATAAAAGAAATACAAACAAAGATACTTAATGTCTTAGCATTCAGAAAAATTCGATGATTCAATGATTTTGCGTCACTATTCCCCATTAAGGAGTGAATATCAGGAAAACTGTGGCACCCATTTTTTGCAAGTGCATGCCGACAGTTGCAAACAATTTGGGGACTTGCAACTATCTTGGTCATGTTTGTTGCCATGATTGCTGTCTGTCTTGAATTCGGCGCCGCCCTCTGTTCTTTCTCCATATACTTGTACATATATCAGTCGGTTGATTATAGACCACGCCCTCCCTGATATTGCCTGCTGTCTACTGTCTGTTGTCTGCTGCCGACTGCATGTTCGTTTGTACTCTGAATGACTTAAATGCATGTAAACTACTGACAAATGCTTAGACAAAACTTGTTACTGTTATTTTGCATATTTGACAAGCACTTTGCACAAACTCCATTCGCATTCAGCTCTAGATTTAAGTCTCTGTCGTCTGGCATTGAAGATTCGTACATGAATTTTGTTTTATTGCAACAAGAAAATTGTGTTTAAAGTGTAACAAGCACCTTGTTTCAAATAAATGTGCGCAAATGACAAACAACTATTGCTAAATGGTGGTTAGTGATTGAAAAATACGTTAAGCTCTCCGACTTAGTATTTGCTTTAGGACATGGCATAGGCACGGCGCATCATCAGATCGAAGTACCCGTCATGGTCAATTGAAGCGCTAATGGTGGCATAGTAGTTCTCGAACTCCTCCCGTGTGATCTGTAAATTAAATGTTTATTACTGGGGAAGGCGTTTGCCTATTTGCTGACCATGCGTACCTTGCCATCCAAATTACCGCGTCCGCCCTCGAAGTTGTGCAGGAACTCTGTCAGTATTTCATCCTCGGTCCTCTCGCCACTTCTAAACAATGGATTCTCCTTCACAGAGTATACGTTTTTCAGATCCTGTATGGTGATTACGTTATCGCCATCCTTGTCCATTTTGTCAAAGGCCTGGTTGATAATACTGATTCGGCTCTGAGACATTTTTGGCTGTAAATTGAAGCAACAACAATTGCAGAACTCAAAACAATTTTGAAGAGCACTTTAGACTTACGCGCAGCTTGAGCAGAAACTCAGTCATGTTGATGGAGCCGCTGCCATCCTCGTCGAAGCTGGAAATCGGTAGAATTACATTTTTTGAAGGCAAACTCATATGCTATTTGCAAATAGAACCTACGTTTTGAACATCTCACGAATCTCGTCATCAGTCACGTCCAAGCCAGTGTCGTGAATGCCAGTGATGAACTCCTCCTCGTTAAGGGCCTTGCTGCCATCATCGTCCATGGCGCGAAAAGCTCTAAGCAAATTAAATGTGAATTAAATGCTTGCTTGTGCCGAAAGAGAGCTCCTAGGCCTTGCTTAAGTCAATCAATTCGCTCACCTGCCCAGTCCCAGAATGCCTGTTGCACCTCGACTGAGGCAGAGCAGACGCAACTTAGTTATGGGGTCCTTCTCGGCACCATCTGTCAGTTCCCGCAACGATTTGTTCTTCAAATCGGCCTCCAGTGTGTACAGTTCGTCGTTGCATGCCTACAATTGGTGGGACAATCAATACATATATGATGAATTCATAATTTACATTTAATTGCGCCTTGTCTGTGCCTTACACTGGCCTACCCAACAGTTTTTCCAACAAAATCTGACAAAACAAAAACACAGCAATAGGCATCTTATGGCAGTTCCGCGAATATGCGCGTACACGAGTAAAAAGTGACTAAAGCAACAACAAAAATTAACAATCGCGCAATAATTAAAGCCAAGGCATACACAAAAATAACAACCGAATAAACAACAGCAACAAAAAAGTAAGAAGAGCGCGTTTTATGCCGGTACTGAATAAACATTGAGGTCGTCGCTCGAGTGAATCACCAGCAGAGCGAACGCTCAGCTGATCTTGCACAGTGACGCGTCGGAAACTTTTGTGGAAGAATAAATATAACTAAAACCCACTTCGAGCTGTAGCCGATCCCGTGAATAATTTGACAGTAGTATTATGTATGAGTCAAGTTCGCGATCTACATAGTTACAGCGGTCTGAAACAACAATAATTTGCTCACCATTTTGTCGAATTGTTCTGCTTTGTTATTTCGAGAAATATGTACGACCCAGAATTCTATGTAGTATAAAAAAACATACCTTTCTGTTTCAGATTTACTTTCCAATGCCTACTTGTGGAACAACAAAAATGTGGGGTAGACAGTTGAGAAAAAATTTCCAAATGAATATTTGTTATAAGCCCAACAAACATTTATCCAGCTTCCGATTTTTGTTACTTAATAGACACTTGACTTTTGATAAGATAATTTTAATAATAACTGAATCATAAATGAACACAAAAAGTGATTTAATTTAATATTTATTTGAAACCCATCCAACTACAAGTACATTTGTGATATAAAGAACCATTTCATCGTTTCACAGACTCAAGACCATCTCAAACCTTTAAAAGCTGTCACGAAAATTGTCTCAATCGAAAGCCTTATTTTGTTTTTATTAAATTCCTGCTAAGTACAGACCAAATGGCAAGAAATTTGCGTTTTCGTGAGTATGCAAGCCACTGAACCACTCAGTTTTCCTCACATAAAGACAGTAGAGTGGCTCTTAAAGCGTCGGCTTTCAATTAACTCGAGTAGCCTCTGCCTTTGAGTTTTCATTCTTTTTGAAACATTTTTGCAATTTGTCTAATTGCGAGCCAAGGTGAAGGTCGCAGAGCAGCGCTTAGCCACAAACACACACACACACACACAGATACACACACACAGGAGGTAGAAGAAAGGTAGAATTGTGGAAGAGAAAGGCAAACTGAGCAACTCACATCCATTTCGAATGATATTTTTATGGCCCTTTACTTTTTCAATGGCGCTTTTCACTATCTTTTTTATAGAATTTCCCCACTTGGCGCGCCCGAGTGTTCTGTTCTGTTGTGGCTGGGCTTTCAGGCACTGAATGGATAAATGCAAGATACTTGTTACTTTAGCGGCTTTGAAATGCAAACTGAAAGCGGCGGCAATGAATAAACAGCCAAGCGAGCGCCGGTTAGTCGAGCCGCGTTCTCAAATAGTACAAGTATGTACGTATATGGAGCCAGAGAGAGAGGGAGAGAGGGCTGCTCTGCTCTCACTCTTTCAGGTGAGCAATAACAACGGCAACAAAAACTAGTTACTCTCTGGCAAACATTCATAGTATAATGTATAAGGTAGACGGCCATACAGATAGACAGACAGACAGACATGGAGAGAGATAGTTACATATAGAGACAGACAACTGGGTAGTTGGAACAGTTGGCGCTTCACACGCGCCACCGACGCTGCCCCCAGTGTGGGCTGCGTATGGTCAGGCCACCAGCCCACGAGCTTGTTTCGCCTTTTGTTGTGACTGTGCATTCATGGCGAGGCATTCAATTTCAATTAAATTGTGGAAAGTTCGGGGGCATGAATCATGCGGCAGCGCCAATTTGCAGCGCACTGTTTGCTCTCGACAAACATGTGGCTCGTTCCGCCACTAAAAGATAAATAAATACGTTCGTACGAGTCCGGGCAGATAAATTGAGGTTGATAAAAACGAAAGCACCAGCAAGTCTGCGATTTCAAATCGCCAGCAAAGGTGCGACAACCATATTTCCCAGGCAGCCAGATTCAGATGCAGGAGCCAACATTTTATTGGCACGCGGCAAGGCAGCGTGTAGTGCGGTCATTTGATTGTGGGTGGTTTGGAGCTTGTTGAGGTGGTCTCCAAAAGCAGCAAACTTTTTCAATATCAGATCTAATTGCGAACGAGCCGAGCGCACATTTTCACTATCGATTATACGAGTATGTGACCTGCTGTTGGTTGTTGTTCTTGTCTTTGTCGTTGTCGTTAGCGTTAGCTTTAGCGTTGTCACCAGTGTCCTTGCTAGTGCCTGCACATTATATTCGACTTGTTTTACTTCGCTTTTCACAGTTGTCGTGTCTCCTCTTTTTTACTTGCCGTTGCAAGGCCATGTAATTTGCTAAATTGCTTTGCCTTTGCGGGGTGCGACTGCGGACATAACCCTTTCATCATTTGAAAGCACACACACACACACCTGCGACTACATATCTATGCTTTTGTGTCTGCCTGCCCTGTCCAGGTTAGTAGTCAGGTTAGCCACGCGGAGCTCCCTAATGCCATGGACGCATTTGAGTGCTTTGGCATGTTTTCTGGCCATTATAAAAAGTACAAGTTCGCAGCCAACCACACCGAGGATGTTGCGCGTTGTAATTGTTATTAAACATATATGCTTAGCCAGGGCATGACCCGAATGTAAAGCAAACAAAAAAAAAACTTCACAGGAGCGAAAGCCACAACTCAAAATTATGCCATATATATACATCGAGCTTTTAATGCTCTGGTAAAAAAATGAATAAGTAAAAAATCTGAGAATGAAATGAGTTGATGAATATTCTTAAATATAACTAGTACTGGTCGTTTGATTGGAACTGATTTGTGGAACTGAATGACTTTGAAATATTGCAGTTCAATCAAGCTGTCGCTTCCAACTTATACGGATTAATAATAACTTCTGGTATTTATAGTAGAGTAGTGATTGGTTTCAATCCTTGTATTGAAAAGTTAACTGAATATACGACTTCACTTTTGCTGCCTTCTTTTGTGAAGATTGTTGCCGATTTTCGCTTAGTCAAGGCACCCAACAATGCAGTGATGAACAGTTCCTTATCAGCACACTTTAAAAACAATATTTTTGTTAGTTTCATTCACTCACCCTCTTGCGCCGCCATGTTGTCCCCTTTCCGTTTTTAAACAACATACCGGCACTCTAATTGAAAAGCAACTAAATGTTTGCATGCTCCTAACTTCACTGAGCTCAATACTGTGAATGGTTGCCCCATATTGGTGCTACTGTGTGCTTTGTTTTCGGTTGGCCAAGACATAAAAAAAAAGAAAACTTAGCAACAACCGAAAGACCACAACATATAAAACACGTCAATGCACAGGGCCAAGGCGCCAAACAGGCCAATGGCCGGTCGTAAATATTCTAGAAGGACGACGCATACTTTCGGGGTCAACTGGCTCGACTTATGACAACAACAGCAACAGCAGCAACAACAAAGAAATCGATGAATATAAATCGTAAAGGCTGCGGAAACGACTGCAGGAAATTTGCGCTTAATTTGGGCGCACAGTTTTTTGTGGCCTCTCGGAAATTCAACATAAGTTGTGCATGCTATTTCCTTACTAAATATTACTATTGGGCATAACAGATCTCAACAATAACACGTAAATTACAATTTCTTAAAGGTACAACAATAAACTTTTCAATATTGTTAAAGCAATAAGAGCTTATGTTCATTCCATTTATACCAAACTGTTAGCGAACAAAGAGAAAAAGATGAGATAGAACCGATCATAACAGATCACTATATAAAAGTATATACATATAGAAAGCAATTTGATTTATGACTTACTAAGCAAAATAATTATGCACCATGGCCATGAAATAACAAGATATGTTCTTGCGAAATAAAGTTAAGCGAATACTTCAGAAGGGAGATTGTTGGTTGTTGCTTGTTCCGTAGAGTGTCGTTCTTGAATGGTTTTTATGCTCTGCCCGAAGCATTTGCAATTACATTTCGCCGAGCTTAAATCAATACCCAACCCACCGGATTCAGATTCGTGCATCGCAATCTCGTTCGAAGCGTGCCAGCGACCAACAGCTTGATTAACAGCTGAGCCGGAGCCCTTTTGCAGCTTTAGATGGCACCCGTGCTCTCGTTTCTGCGAAAGGCCGAAGGACGAAGCTGGACGACAGTGCCGGACATGATTGTCTATCTGGCTGCCACTGTAGCTGTGGATATGTGAGCATGTGTGTGTGTGTGTGTGTGTACGTGAACGTGTGTATTGACGTTGTCAACGCATCAACTGAACTCAATCAGTGAATCACTTTACAATTCGCTGATCAAAAGGAAAACAATCATACGCATTTGAAGTGTCAGAAATTGGCAAGCGAACGAGACGCAGACCGAGATTGAGATTGAGGGGGCAGTAGGGACGGGGGCGGGGGTAGGGGGCAGTGGCACGCCAGACATACCGAGACCCTTTTTATCCTGCTTCATTCCTCTTTCTCGTTGACACATGCAAATATATGTAGCTCAGAGTGTGTATATAGGAGTATGTGTGTGTGTGTGTATTTTCTTTTTAATCAATTTATATGCAAATGCTTAACTGAATTTGAGCTGGCATGTCCTTCTTTGCCTTTGGCTTTATTGAAAAACGTTAAACTCATTGATTAACGAAAGCGAAATGCACAAGCGATGGCAAATGGCAACAGAAGAACATTTAATTGAACTGCCTTTTTTATTGAATTCCTTGACAACGCGCGCTCTTGATTGCAGCAGCCACAGAAAATCCCCGTCTACTTCTTTCCATCGAACTCTCTTCTCTGTGGCAGCGGCATCATATACTTGCTGGTTGGGATCGGTTGTGGATGATGCCAAATATTTGCCTGGGCAACACTTGAGCACACACTCAGTCACTTGTCAGAGTCATTTCACTAATATGCATGCCTCTTCACGAAACAACTCGAACTCGAAACCCAACCCGAAACACTTGAGTGTTTGCCGACACCCTTGCTCCTTGCCACCCCGACTCAGACGCCGACTCCCACACCGACTCCGACCCAGATACACATTAGCTGTCTCAGCCTCAACCCTGAACCCCAGGCTTCGGCACCTTCATCAAGCCAACACCTCGCAGCCCAAACACGCTTTGTACAAAGCCACTTGGAATGTGTCTGGGCCTGTGTAAATTGATAAAATCAACTTGATAACTTCATTTCATTACATAAACATTAATCACATTAGCTTTTCTGGCTCCTTTGGCCTGCGCCTCGGCAAACGAATGAGCTACGAAAATTAACCTTTTCATTTGGCCAGACAGCCCAAAACTGTGAAATTTTAATAACGCAATCTGCTTCAAACATTTCTCTGTCTGCAAGGCTGAGTGAGTATAAATGTGAGTTTCGAGTGTGTGCCTTTCGCACTCAACCTTTTAACCACAAAGTCAAGTCACACGCCACCCAAGAAAATGTCAACAGGCAAACACATGCCTTGGAAGCCTGGAGGTCAAGACACATAAAAGTTATTACTTAATTTAAGTTCGCAAAGCGAGCCGCACAACAAAGGCCAACAATTTATAAGCCTACAAATTTAATAAAAAATGCATGAAATATATTTTCTTGCTTCCCTAATTTGCAGGCCAGTCTAACACTTTTCCTCCTCCTCCCTTTCTATTGTGCTTTCTGTCTCTTTGTCTGAGCTTTATTCAAGTTACGAGTCAACGCACAACACACAACGCACAACATCTACATATTTCAATTTTGCTAGATTTGCATAAATTTTATACAGTTATTCATGCCATTGCCCTCGCCTTGCTGCATTAGATGCCAAGAAAAGGGTTCCCATTCAACATGAACTGTCAACGTCAAATAGGCTAGCACGCGTGCCTTTTGATTAGCTTGGTCCTGGGCCTGGTCCTGGGCCTGGTCCTGGTCCTGGTCCTTGCCCTAGTCTCGTGGTTGTGGTCGTGGCTGAAAGATTTTGATTGCACGTTTTGCATATTTTTGAGATCTACAATGAAAATGAAATTATTAACACCGACAAGCCAGATTTTCGCAAACATAGCAAAGCAACAACAGCAACAGCAACAAAATCGGCTACTATGGCAACTATGTGGTCGTTACAGGAAAATGCTGCAAATAAATGAAAAAACAAACATTTTCATTTAAATCTATGCCTTCGACCAGCAATTAGGAAGCAAATGTTGGCAAAAGGCGATCATAACATCGATACAGCCCAATACAGTAGAGCCACTATGTGTATATATCGCTCTATTTCTATTTACATTTCAGTTACGCAAATGATATATCCATCATAAGTGCATACATACATACAAGAACAGTATGTATATACAAATCAAGTGAGCAAACAGACCCAAT